GAGGTTTTGTAGGTTAGGAGGACGCAATACCACCTTAATTACAAACGGTTTCCGTAAGTTTCCACGTGAAATTCGAAATACGTAAAATTCCCTCGTCCCCGTAAACCTAGCGCTAAATGCGCAGTATTATAGGTTATGTAAGGCAGTTCTTCGCTATCGTTAATTCCCACCTAAACAATATCGTCATTCATCGCATAGTGAGCGATTTAACACTAGAACTACCGATCTTTAATGGGTACCTAACTATAACGTGCACAGATTATAGTAATTTCAACGTTACGATGAATATGAGTGAATATATTGATTACAGTTCTTTCTTAATACGAGTTGATACCAATTTTATTCTTAAAGCAGGTGTATGTGTCCGGTGATTGCAAAAAGGAAAATTCTGGGACCAGTCATTTTCACTGGGTTGGTAGTTCTAGTGTTAAACGTGTTGACATGTTTGAAATGATTTCAGTGGAATAATTTTTAGTGATACGACCCCACTCTTCTTTTAACCTTACCGGGGTGGTCCGAATATTGCGATCTAAATAAGTCCCATAAATCGAATTTAAGCCTGGTGACTGTGTTGGTAATTCATCTTGACTGGGTTGCTAGATCTAGTGTTAATTCAGTGGAATCGGGAACTATATTATTAATCAGCCGGATTGGAATTAAAAGTTTCCTCGGGCGAAGCCCTCGTGACTAGGTGGCGCCACGGTCGTTCGAAAAATGAAGCTTTTAAAGTGGCCGGAACAGAAAACAAACGGCGACGTTTGACGAGACCCTCTCGATAAATAAATCGAATTGCTGCATCGTGCGCATCCAGCAAAAAGTTCGCTGGTGGCGCCGTTAAATCAATAGCCCGATTGTGATTGTATAAAAGCGACTCGTCAGTCTACATTCATTACAACAAAACGTTCCTAGTCGGTTCCATTCCTCCCCACCTCTCTCGCTCACTTCACCTGGCAATTACGAGTCTGTTTTTTCGAAGTAACAAAATGGCGGCTGTTAATTATGCGGCGAACGTTGCTGCGAACGTCAGAAAGTTTCGCTCGTCGGTGCTTCGATGAGTGATTCAACGGATCGAAATCAATCACGACGAGTTCGAGCAGGAGAACAAATGATAATAATCAACGCCCGGAGATAATATTTATTGCTCGTTTACCAAATCTCATTTGTCGCGTTTGCATCATTTTCCATTGGCACCCAAATATTTGCTTCCAATTTGCAAGCACATTGTAATGCGCGCGCATGTATGTGTGTATGGTTTAACATAGCAGTGTGGATTTTTCCTCTTGAGGATGTAAAATCGTTGTAAAAGTTGAAAAATATATTCCATTTGTATATTTATTATTGTAGGTCCTGTGATGCCAGAATTTTTAATATTTGGATGACTTCGCCCTTTTAATAGTTGGGTACTTCTTTGGGTAACTAACTATGAGGCAAATGATTAATAATTTGAATAATACTTATGTGTAGAATATACAAAGTGAATCGTGTAAAGGATAAACTATATAAAACGTTTTTGTCACAATTACTCAGAATATGGACATAAATAATTTTCCCTTGTTTTTCTGTATATATTGGGTGTCCCAAAATTCACGCAACAAGTAGTTTTGATAGAAAAGATAAGTTTTTAATTAAAAGGTGTAAATATTGCTGAACAATGAAGACGAGTTGTTTTTCCGTTTAGTCTCCATTTTTAATAACCTTGAACTGTCAACTGTCACGTTTTTTTTTCTTTTTTGGTTGACAATACTTTACACCACAAGTGGCGCCAAATTTAAATCTTGCATGAATTTTGGGACAACCTGTATGTATATGTAATTAAAACACTGGGGCAAGATATTTAGAATACAACAAATGTTTGAGACAGGTTCCTTGAAACTTAATATTTCCCTTCTCTGTCTTCAGTCTTTCTTATGAAATTATTTTGTTCAGAGTTCGACATGGTATTTATTCACTTGTAAACAGTCGTCTGTGCCATTTGATTCCTTAAAAAAATTTGTAGAGAAACTTTGAGCTTTAAAAACTGAAGTAATAATTAATTTACGTCTTATTTATTAAAAAAAAAATTCTGTTTATGTATCTAGAAATTCCAAAAAATCAACTTTTAACACTATATACTAAAGTCAACCTATATATAGTAAGAATTTAAATTAAAATTGAATATATTCCAAATTTGATACAAGCAAGTGCTAATTTAGTACTTTTGTTTGTTTCTTTAATTATAGTTGTATATTGTTAAACAAAATACATTCCTTGCATGACGTTCTTTTAAGAAGACTCATATGTAAGTCACATCAACTCGTATTACTTCTGAAACGACCAGTTCTGAAACAGAAATATATTTCTAAGAAAATTTGATCACCTTTTGAAACTATATAGAATATTTCAAGTTTTTAAATTGTTGCAATTGAAAATTTGTGCATCATTGAAGGTAATCACCAAATTTAATTATCATTAAGGTCTTGTAATTTTTAATCTCATCACTATCTCATTTTTTGATTTAACAAATAATTTAAAAAATGAAAAAATGTAAAGAGGTAAATTAAAAACTTTTTTGAAGATATCAAAAGGAACTGTAGGTGACTTAGAAGAATGCAGTATGATCATGCAAATTTGCGGCCATTAATAAATAGCAGAAAACACTATTAAACTTCTAAAATAACTAATATTTAGCACAAAAGTAATTTTGGAATAATTAAAAAAACTTTTAATTATGCTATTTTGCTACTTCATTCCCCCAAATATGTTTTCATACTCAACTGTGGTAGTTATTTAACACACTCACAATTTTGGATCATATATACATTCATGTGTCTCTATTTATAAACTTAGTACCATACATAATGATACTTATAATATAAATGATTTTTCATATTGTAACACAAGAATTAAGTACTTCATTTAAAGAACATAATTATAATATTTTAAAGAATTGAAATATAATTTAATATTTAATTTTACAATAATAATCTTAATACCTTCTTAAACATTGTACAATTTCTGCATAAAGTATCATTCTTGCAATGCATATGTCTGACAATTAAATATTTCATTTGAAAAACATAATTATAATATTTTAAAGAATTTAAATATAATTTAATATTTAATTTAATAATAACAATTGTAATACCTTCTTAAATATTATACAATTTCTGTATAAAGTATCATTCTTGCAATGCATATGTTAGAAATTATACCTTACACCCTGTGGAATAGTTTTACGCGCATCCATAACAATTCCGTAATCCTTTCCCGATCCACTCGATGAATTTTATAAATCCATAAATAAAACCGTTGCGATACGTTGTATAAAACTGTTGAAAATAAAGCATACGTCATCATCAATATTTCACACGCCATCTGATGCAGAATACATTAAAACATTAACCTATAAAAACTTACCGCTGTATATAAAGCACTTTAACAATCTCATCAACACGACATCATATCAGAGGATAAAGCAAAATGTTTGACAATATCTTCACTGTCCTACTTTCATAGCGCTCGACGTATTCGCCCATAATTCTGTTCGCCATAGGAAACCTTGTTACCGGTAGCAAACATTATAATTAAAAGTGCTAGCAGCCTGGCCGGTTATCGCGTTGAAACCACGGCGAAAGCAACGTGGAAGCATCCGCTTTGCTTTCCATAATAACGAAATTATTGCAGCCCGTCAACTACAGGGGGAACCGCAGCGCCGCCCCGCGTCGCGATTATCAGTTAAACAAAGGTCCACTTCTCGTTCCTATTTATATTTATAAGCTTATCCCTCGTTCCGAATTCCAGTAGTCTTTTATACGTCTCCCGACACGCTGTCCAGATTTGAAATTGTCTCATCGCATTTTCATTAACAAACGGGAAAATGAAGAAGGCGAAAGCAGAAACAAACAGAAAAAAACAGAATTCCGCGTGCGATGAAAAAAAGCAAGGAAAATTGGAAAAGGAGAAACGCGAAACGGCGGAACAAAATCGACGAGCAGAACGAAACGCGGTAGTGGAAACCAGCGGGACAAAGAAGATGAAGGCGACACGAGTGGAGTTTTTTCGGTGACAGAAGGTAAACAGCTAACGCGTCAACTCGCGCCGTCGGTAATAATTACAGAGTACCGGTAAGCCGTGGTATTAGCCGGTCTCGCCCTCGTTGAATACTATACCAACGGAGTTTCGACAAATGATCTCGGACCACGATCCTTACTTGACCGGCGGTTTTGCCCTTTTCAATTTCGTCGTCGGACCCTTCTCGAATCCGATACGTCG